TGAAACACATGATATCAATCATTGCCAATGGGCACTGAGTCTGTGCAGTATATCGGAAAAAAAACCTCATCTCAAACACAACTTCTAGGTAATCTCCCTCTAAAATTCAAACAGATACCTGTCAAACGAACGATCTTGTTGCGACATGAGGTGGTTCAGACATGCCTATGTATTGACAAAGTAAAACCCCCGGAAGACAACGATGTATGGCATTTTGGAGACTTCATAGATGACCCTTTAGGAAAAGATGATCCTGTCGCTGCTATTTCTCTTTTTCAGGAACCCATTCCCATCGATAATGTTCCTGCTCACTTTGCTACTAGTAGTGGCCGCGATACTTTTCTGGAACAACGACTCCGTTCTTGACCCTTCCGAGATAATCGCAGTGCGTTTTCGAGATTTCGCATGCGAGACAAGCACACAGGGCCAAGGCGTTGTAACAGCGTTGCTCAAGCATGCAATGCATTTTGCCTGTTCAGAGCTGAAGGCGGAGGTTTTATGGTCTGATGCCACTGTTTCTTCTGTAGATTGGTACTCACGCCGAGGCCTCTCGCGAATCGGTCAAAAATTCTCCGAAGGATCACAATTGAGTAAGTCTGTATGAAGGTGGAGCTTTTTTAGACTACGCACAACAAAGCTAGAAGTTTGCGTTTAACGGGGTAAGTCTCCCGAATGACATGCAATGACTTGTAATCGAGTGCATATCTGCGATTGCGATATCGGCGTATCTTTCAGGAGATTTCCGGTAGGTGAAGATGGTAGATCAAGTCTAAGTCTGATCTAATGAACGACCTTTGTAGATTTGATTTGCTTTGTCAGTGTACCCAATTTTTCGCAAAGCCTGCCCTGAACTCGACTTCGATCCTATACCAGATCCTATTCGTTCACGAACAATAGTGCAGAAAAGAATTCTAGAGATAATCAATGACGCTTGCCTAGGACGATGGAGAAGTACATATCCCCGATAAGCTGATATTGTTTCTGTCAGTTTCGCTGACTCTGAATCTCATTAATGAAAATCATGCTTTCAAACATATTTGATGCTTGTCGGAGGTGTGCAGATTGCTTCCAGGTGCCTCCCGTGATCCGGTAGCGTTCAATCCAACGAAACGTTGAGCGTACGCCGGTCGTGTGTAATGGAAGGTAAAGGTCTTTTTGTGCACGACGTATCCATCATATCGATAAAGAAACACCTCTATTGGTTCGATGATGTTGTAATGTGCCAATGATTTTCGAGCAATATGAGAGAAATCATGTAGCCCCATCCGGGACACCGAAACTGCACGAGATCTATAAAAGCAGACTTAATTGATGCAAAACACCGTCTCTCCCCTCCGTCTCCTCACCAACTCTTCGAAAGACTCTTGTACTGGAATTTTTGTGTTCCATCGCTCCACTCAACTATCTTGCTATGCCACAGAGACTTCGTTTGCTCTCTCTATCACTCGGTGTAGAGCGCTAGAGCCTCTGTTCATAGCCAAAATAGTTGTTGGAGCGTTGCCACTTCCACTATTTTCTAGCCAATGAGTTTTGACGCTACTATTTACCTCTACCACTTTCTTCGAAACATTTTGCCGATCCAATCATTGATTCTCAGTAAGCCACCTTCTGTTCAATTTCGTTTATCAAGCCAGTACTTTATTTAGCACAGGTAGTTCTGGGCTCAGACTTGAACGAGGCGGCAATTATCTATGGTCCACTGGTAATACACCTGCAGAGTTTGAACCTTCATTTCGATCTATCACTTTTTCTCTCGAGACCAGGCGAATGGAAAAGAAACTCCTTGCTGATCTTTCCATTCGACTCTCAAGCGCACTTGGTCGGATCGGGTTGAATATAATTATCAAATACTGAGGCCGTAGAATGATTTAATAATAGGTCCTATGAGCCTGAGGGTCGTTCAACCAAAAGAAGATTGTAAGTATCTTGAAGGATTATTTTTCAGAGTCTCGCTTGTGAGAGCTCAGAGGGCTCGAATGCATCTGGATTCTGCGCATACTTAGTATCAATTATCTGCAGGTCCCAAATTTCTGGGTACATTAGTTGTCGGCATGGAATGAATACTTAGGAGATGCGGCAAATGAGTGATGAGAAGCTTCTCGAAATTTTGACTGTGAATCTGTCAATGTTCCTCTGCTCCGCCCTCTGTCTTTTCCTCCACATCTCGTGAGGTTACAATGCCATGGCAGTGTTGTCGATAGCAGCACTAAAAGCTCCATATCATTTTTTGTATCACTATGGTGTATCACTTACTCTGTTCTAATCATTCTGCTCTGCTCCGAGTCTGATCTAATCTACATTGGAGTGTCCGAACCCTAATAATAGGGACGCTTCACTCCAGCTTACACTGCATCATCAGGACTATTATGGTCATGCTGTCAGCAACTCTCTGGCTCAAAAATGAATAATATAATTGACCATATACATAGCTGACCCTACATATCAGAGTCCAGACTCTCTTTTCCTTCCCTCCAGAGTTGTCATCACACGTCTTGATCTCCTTACCGTAATTTGAACACACTGTTCGTAAATCACGTTGTATAGTTTCGTCATTGTAATTTTCTAATTCGCGGCAGTCGCGTCCCTCCTCAATGATGGGCAGTACTTAATCCAACCCAGTTTCTATTCGACTTAGACGCATTGGCCGACTTGCAATTTTCTTCCATATGAGACTCAAAACATAAGATTGTACTGACAAGGGAGGATGTGGCGACATTGATTTGACTAGCAAAACCCTACTAAGCCTGCATAGAAACATAACAACAAATCCGACCGGGGGCAATGGCCACAATGATAAAGATGCTTTCTGGCGCAGGAATTAGACACACAGTACGTGCTTTCGTTCATCGCTGCGGTCGTCTATTGAAATTTTGCGGTTTCCGTTCTATTCCGAGCTTGACACATCTTACCATGGGATCCACCCTTGGGAAATTCTTATCACACTATAGATCCTCATCGATATCATCGAACCCTTTCCCTTCCACGTCTGCATTTGAGATTTCAAGATCTTGGTTGGAAGACTGAGGTATGTGACTTTATGCGTGAGCCTTTACTGACCGTAATGAACTCCAGAGCCCGTAGACTTTGATACTGCTTCGAATATGACAGCCCCAATCGCTGACGCGATTTCTGACAAGTCAAGTTTGAATACCAAACATGTAGTTGTTCTGGGAGCTGGTGCTTCATTCGATATCGGTTCGCATTCAGTTATCTCATTCCTACCGCTATCTAGGTGTAATTGGTCTCACAACCGCCATTTCGATCCTCGAATCGGCCTCAAAAACCAACTACATTGTCACGATCCTAGCCTCTCACCTACCTAACGACCCAAAATCCATTGATTATACCAGTCATTGGGCTGGTGCTCATCATGTTTCTCATGCCACAGGGACTGGTGGGTGCCTTTTTAACTACTCGTACTTGAGTTGATATGTTCGTCTCAACAGGAATTTCCGCACCAGACGCCAACAGCTCCTCCACCAACACCGAACATCCAGAGCAGCTAGCCATTGATCAGGAAACCTTCCGCACGATGTGGGACCTATCTGCGCAGGGAAGCGACGCAGAGAAATGTTTGATGCGGATTGAACAGGTCGAGTATTATCACGAGGAGATTCCTGTTGATAAGGATAGTGGGCAGGCAAGGCACCATCTGAGTTGGTATCCTGATGTAAGTTTGTTCGTCCGACATTCCTTCACTCCAAATTTTTTATGTGTCATAGTTTAAGATCCTCTCATCCGCAACACTTTCTTCCTCTCCTCTCGACCTCCTCGCTCAGGGTATCCGCTCCGGCGTGTCGTTCAATACTTTAACCATCGACACGCCTGTATACCTCCGGTATCTTTATCAACGCTTTGTTGACAAAGGTGGCATAGTTCTGAGGGGACGTGTCGATGATATTCGAGATCTCAAGGAATTGCAGCGTCTATTGCATGAACTGCAACCGACCGCCTCGGACGTGCAGATTGACGCCTTGATAAACTGCACCGGTCTCGGCTCGCGCACTCTCTTAGGGGTCGAAGATGACGCTGTATACCCTCTTCGAGGTCAGACTGTCCTTCTCAGGGCACCGTGGATTAAGTTTGGGAGGACGATAAGTTCTAAGGGTAAGGAAGGTAAAGAGGATTTGTGGACATATATTATTCCAAGGCGGAGTGGGGATGTGAGTTACGATACCTATATTTTCTTTCTTGCTATTGTTGCGTTTGCGTCCTCATCCCTTGCACACAGATAATTGTGGGAGGCATTAAGACACCCAATGACAGCTTCCCTACTCCACGTCCAGAGACAACGATAGACATCTTGAGGAGAAGCTTGAAGCTTTGCCCTGAGCTGCTGCATCCTCAACCAGTTGAATCAGCCGAGATAAGGAGTGGAACTACTCAGCTCTCGACTGATCCTCCTTCCATTCCCAATCTGGATCAGCTCAGTGACCCTGACTTGCTCAATCTTATCGAACCACTCATGGTCGAAGCCGGATGCGGTCTTCGGCCGGCGAGGAACGGTGGTATAAGGTTGGATGTCGAGTGGATTGAGTCCACACGACGGATTCCAATCATTCACAACTATGGCCACTCGGGATCTGGATATCAGAGTTCTTGGGGAAGCGCGACGCGCGCATGGAGGTTGTTGGAGGGTGTGTTATAGAGTCTTTTGGATTGTAGAGTATGCCAAATTGAGCTAGTGATTATCTGTCGTTCAAGGTGTATCTCAGACACCTCATTGAAATTCATAATTTCATCTCGAACAGGGTATATATAAGTAAGTGTTTGCCTAAGCTGAGCCCTATACTTAGAAGGATGCTGCCATCTATGAACGAATATGTACAAGCTTGGAACCCATGCCTACTTAGCTTGCTTTGCTTTCACAACTCTTCTGCGTTAGTGCTTTATGCTACTAATGCTGACATGACTTATTATCTATTAGAATAGGTGGCTTCAAATGTGAACATTATTTGCAGGGCGTAAGATTGCCTAACAACGCCTTGGTGTGAGCGGTAGGGCACATGGTGTAGTTGGTTATCACATCCGCTTAGCAATTAATGATCTGAAGGATTTGTGTGCCCCCCTGATGCGCAAATCTTTCAGATTATTAATTTCCACAATGCGGGGGGTGCTGGGTTCAATTCCCAGTGTGTCCATTTTTCACTTTTTAGTCTCACTTCTTATATTTTATATCATTGCTCCTTCACTCGAATGAACGTTTAATAGGTACCGATTCTTACTTAGCAAGCTTGACTTTTTTTCATTTCACTAGTACTTTATTTACTACTCAGTAATACCAATCGATATTCTGATTTTTCCTGTCGACTTCTGGAGTATTGTGAAACAGTAAAGACAGACAAGACAGTACAGTATGACTGACAGTCATGTAAGTTTTAAGCTATAAGGGTGAGAAATAGATAAATAAATAGATAAAAACCAGCATAGTCCCTCGAAGTCCAACCAAACCCGACGTCGACAAACTTTGAAAATTATGCGTTGCAATATTCTGGACTTGACTCGAAGTATTCGAAACAATGGGGGTGCTGGAGGCTCTTGGGACACTTGAATTCGAGGTCGAGATTCACGGAGAGTTAGTATTTATGGCGCTGACCATCACATCCAACGCAGCCATTTGGCCCCAAGAAGTGAACTGCTGTGCGGGTCCTGGCCATGAAGGAGAGTAGGATGTTCCGTCTGCTGCGAGTTCCAAAAGAGCGTTGTACTGATTGAGAAGATAACACGTCCGTTAGTTGTCAAACGTTCATTGTTCAAGGTTAGATGTAACATACCTGAACGTCGACATAACTGTGGATGAGAATTTGAAGGTCGCTATTGTCAGAGCTGCGTACGCTGACTTCGTCGAGGCCTCGGATGAAAATAGCTGGATGAAGAGAAGATATCATAAAACTTCACTTCTGACGAATATTACTCAAAGGCGTACCTTTGAACCCGACACCGTCGTTGTCAGAGGCCGTACTAGCTCCTTCAGTAATGATACCGTCACTTCCTTGCCAAACAGGAGACTTGACGGCGGCGGCAGTGATGTTTGTCATCCTGTAACACAACGAATGGGGTTGAGTGGAAATAGGAACAGGAATGGAACAAAATGGAGCAACGAGTGACAAACTCACAATGACTTCCAAATAGCAGCTCCCGTGACATCCTTCAAGACACTCAATCCCTCAAGGTACTTGCCGGAGTTGTACGTGAACAACCAAGACGCAGCCGTCCTCGTGCAATCTTCGCCGCTCACACCATCGAGGATGATTCCGTTTTCGTTGATTTGGAGATTCTGAATCCACTGAGCACTGAGAATCGCTGCATTTTCGTATGTCGCGTTGCTAGTGGTTTCGGCAAGGTATGCGGAGAGTCTAAGGGTTGAGAACGGTTAGGCATGAAGGCAAGGTCTTGTTTAGAAACTTGAACGCACGTAGTGTATAATCTGTGATTCGGACAATCAGATCAACGTTTTGAGAACCAAATACTAACAGTGGTTCACCTACCCAGTCGTGATTGAGTTGATGCCTGTGTCATCGCTAGTTGGACGCTACATGTTCACTACAGTCAGCAAGATCTGAACGCCATGACCTCAGCAATAACAAACCCAGAAGACTCCTCCTGCCATAGTTTCTGCGACGAAGATGATTCAAATCAACGATTTGTCCAAGAACAAAGTCCTGGACGCGCTTACCTCCGTAGCAAGTGGAAGCTATCGTGAAATCCTTATTCGGTTGTGTCTTAGATTGAGCATCCGCTGCAGTGACGACGCTTCAAACGATTCGTTGATGACTGCTAATCAACGGATCTTCATGAGTAGTACTCACTAGTTCGAAACATGATTCCAAGTCGTAACAGCCATTGATAACATGCTTGAGTCCTATTTGGCCACCCAGTAAGATCTATATTGAAAAATTCTGATGGGTTTGTAATCTTACCCCGTATGCCCTGTAGGCGTAGTACGCAGCGGTGGCCCACCACCTGAACATTCATACAACATCGGTTCATATCGAGAGTGAAAAGGGATATTGCACGTACATCGCATCGTCGTTGTACTATGACCGTACCCACATTAGTCTCAGTAGTAACCTTGTCATGTCTTGCAACTCACTCTAAATGTGACAAGATCAGAACAATGAGAGAATCCAGAAAGCGGGACAGAAATGGACATACAAATACTGATCAAAATCTGGGTACAGTTTGAAAGCTGTAGTAAGTCCGTCGATGACTTGGTCTTTGTACGTTGTGGAACTCGCCAGATGGTCGAAATTTGCCATCGCTGAGAATACATTTGCTGATTGCCAGTAGCCAATACCTATTATGTCGTCGTAAAGTTAAGATGAATCTGTCGTCCGAAAGAGCAATAGCCGAAGCGATGACAATTCTTACCATTGAATTGGGCAGTAGATGTGTCCAGTTGAGGAAGGATAGTGTCAATAGCGGACTTCGCAATCGATATTCGTTCCGCGAGAAGACGGGAGTTGTTAAATTCCTACACAAAAGATACAAAGAAAGAAGATAAGCTATGACAAGCAAGACTGCGAAAGGAGGAATCTGGTTCACCCTCCATGTAGTAGGAACCCCCAAATCCTGGGCGAACACGAAACTCGGGAGAAGAGCAACGAAGAGAGCTAGATGGACCATGAATGCGGGTGTACGGCAGCGCTAGTAGGGACTGTGTAGGGTAAGAGAGAATAGAAGAGAAGAAGACGAAAGAAGGTAAAGATACGAATAGGGAGGAAGGACGAAAAACGACGTTTTAAACAATTCCGATTCAAAACTCCCCTTACCGTGTTATATATCGGAGAACCTGAATCTAGGGAAAACAATTTCATCAAAATGCCGTGTGAATTGAAATATGATGTCGATGAAACGTTGAGGGAACTGCTTGCGTTTTCATGGGTCTCCGAAAGGTTGGGCTATGCTGGTGCATGTTTGAACATTGACACACGCATGGAATGCGTCTTTTGAAAACGCGTAGGGATTTTCTGGAGGTTCGTTGAAGACAGAATTTCAGGGGAGAGAAAGCAACCGAGCAATATGCGTGATTCAGATTTACCAGTGATATTGAGGACATTCATAGCAGGCGACCACCGACGGGCATTGGTTGGTATCAAGAACCATAGTCCTACCGACGGATGGGTGTATATTGAGATTTTGTAAGCTGACGATGCTTGACGGACCTGGGAAGAGTTCAGTGGGCTGCTACTTAGTTTCACATTCGAGGGTCATTTTTCATGGTAGACAATATCATCTCAAGTTGTCTTGTCCACACCATCTCTCCAAGCACTGCCAAACGTGACAAATAATCACACCTGTCTCCCTTGAGCTCATGAGTATAGATAATGAAGTCAAGATCTTCCTCCCTCAGCCCAGACCTCTCTCTCGTTGCTGGTCCGGGTGACTTCTCATTGTCATCTACAATTTCCCCAATTTCAGCCAACTCCGTCTTTTCACTGTCGACCGCTGAAGCAGATTCCAACAGAAGTCTCGACGGCACTGATCTCATCAACAATCGCCACCAAAGCTTCCTCAACTCCTCAATAATGGCCAATAGCTTGTGACCATGCGGACCACCTCCCACATCCTGCGCTATAGCATAGAAGCATCCAGGATCCTCTGAGTCGCCGACCATGTCTCGAGGTTTAAGTGCGGCAACGGTGAAGGAGAGGGTGTCGAGCAAATACAGGATTTTAGCTGTGACAACACTTTCGGGGTGCCTGAGACGAACCACCAGGGTTCCGCCTCTATCTGGAATGAGTGATTGAAATGCGAGGAGTAGTTGTGAGATTAGGAGGAGGTCGGACGAGGAGGGATAATTATCAAGGACAACGAGATTGAACTTCTGCGATGAGGTTCCTGATGTGATGTGCCTATTGTTCGAGATTTGTTTGGGCCCAAACAACAGCTCTTTTGGTGGCTTTTCAAGGTTTAACCCGTTCAAGTCCGTATTATGCGCCGCATATATGAAAGTATCGGCAGGACCTGAGTTTCCAACTTTGTTGAACACAGAAGGACTCAGATTGTAGCTAAACTCGGAGTTCGTATGAGAGAGGCCTTGACAATACTTTTGAGCTGGAAGACGAAGATCTAGCCGAGTCATATCTAGGAAATGAAGCTGGAACCTGGAGCTGAAGGCAGAATAATGAGTTTGATGGCGTGTGTAGTATGTTTGAAGTTCGTGTGTTTTGTTCGTACGCTCAACATCCAATAATGAATTTGGCGGAACCGGGCATATTCCAACCCCAGTCACATATTGGTTCCTTCTCAAAAGGAAAGAAGCAAAGCCTCCAGGGCGACATCTAGTTCCGCCAGAGTAGAAAAATTAGCATCGTTGGAAAGGAATGAATAGAGGATTTCTGCTCAGAGAATTCACTTACCCTAGATCAAGGAAATAATATCCCGCATCATCGTGACGAGGTCTAGGAAACAACCTCGAGAACCGATTCACGATCTCTTCAAATACGCACTGCTGAGAGAATTCAGGGTCAAGAAGGGACTCGCGAGCTCGTTCTTTTCGGTGAATGCCACCTTGCGACGACTCGCTTAAGTCAATTTTTGCTTCCAAAACGGAGCTAGACCCGGTAGTTTTATTCTGGAACTCAAGTTTGGGCATAGTGCCTTCTTGACGCGCTTTTTCGCTCAACTAAGGATCAGAGAAATAATCATGGCGTTAGTACAGCGACGATCAAAGAATCGGGCATGAGCAGAGCACCGGTATGCGTGCTGACCTCTTTCCAAATTTCAAAAATCTCCTTCAACTCTGTTGCTCCGCACGCAATGACTTCTTCCGTTAACGTTGCCGTACCTCCCATTTCCAAATCTAAGCGAGCCAAAGCTTCATCCCAATGCACAAGCCCCTTGTGCCGGTGTGATGAGGGCAATGAAGAGCCCCGTAGTATTTCAGGGGAATATTCAGCATGACCAGAAGGCTGGGAAGTCAAGTTTGAACGATCTAGAGTCTGGGCATTCGCGTGAAAAGGACGATCTGAACCCAAAAGTCGGCGATGATCTCTATAGCATGCCAAACGTTGAATATCCATACCTTGAGAGAATTTCAGTTCATTGCTAAAACGAGCATTGCCGAGCTGGTGCCGCTGGATATGGTACCGGTCGCTGACGGTGTCGCTGGGTTCGGTATACTCCAGGGTCTGCTTAT